TTAATTGCAGATTTGCGCATTTAATTGACTACGGACCTCGCCATAAATACAATCGTAGCCTTATTTCCGTTCATTTTAGCATAGTTTTACCAAATAGACCGTTTCTAGAACAACAGTTTAGTGTTGGTAGAATATGATGACTGTTTAACTCGCGGTTTGGGTAGAGGGCCACTCTGTATCCTGGCCACTGTGCCTCCGCTGGATGGGCTAGCCTCTAGGCCATGCCAGTGGTCAAAACTCCTTCTGTAGGGTAAATATGTGCCTCCTGTCCAAGCACTATGTCTTCCTTCGTCTTTAGCGAAGCATTTGGGAGCTTCAATAACTTACGAAGGATATGGCGTTATTGGAAGCAGGAAATCCTAATATGTAAGTGGAGGAGTGACATTTCAAGTCATCAAAACATTCACAAATCAACAGCTAACTTTAAGACAAGGATCAATGTTTGCTTTTAATTAATCCAGGAATATGTGTTTCAGCAGATAGAGAAAATTAAGCAGCTTTGAGTACTTAGACTTTAATATGGAAGCTGGGTTAATTGGGCTTTAGTGAAATTTAATTAGGGCTGTCTGAAAAATTAGAAAACAAGGGTTAAGGAAAGTATTTTCAAATAAACTGTAATAGTTATATTTTTTTAATGTACCTTTCGGGGAGGAGGCGAGGTTACAATTGGAATCTGGTGACAGAGTCGGCGCCTCCCAAATCTGGGTGCGGTTGCGTTTCCTCCCCTCCCTAGACTTTGTACTTGTTCTCCCGATCCATTTCCCTCTAATAAATATATCGAGATTAAATCAATCGGATTGTTATAAGAGCACTAGGAACAGGGAAGAGGAGGTCTGTGTGTAATGCAATGGTGGCTTATGCTCCGGTATTGGTGAGGCGCTACTTTTGTACTTTGAATTTGCCCTCTTGTACCTCGCTGGGTGGTCTGGCCTTTCGGGCCATGCCAATGGCCCAGACACCTTCTCCGTGCTGAATATACGTTCTCCCCGGGTATTGTGTCTTCTTTCGTCTTCAGGGAAGTCCTACGACGCTACATGTGAGTATCGCCCTCCAAAACGAATTATTTTTAAAAGCATTCTAGTAGCATTGCATTTGGTCCTTGTGTTAAGGAAAACAGCATAACCTATGACTAATGTATTTTTAAAATTAGCTTGATTAGTTTACTCTAAATATTGCATTTAAAAATAAGTGCTTGGTGAAGGAAATTTACGATAGTAGCATGACTGTTCCTCCGCTTGGATTCCTGGCAGGGACCGCCTGTATGATGTAATATAACCTTAAACTGGACCTCATTCCTTCCAGGCAGTCCCTCTATTAGGTAACCTGACCATTCCCTGGCCTGGATTCCTGCCAGGGACTGCCATAATACCGTAATCTGACCTTGAGATGGCCCTATTCCTACCCTCGCCACTCGCTTGTTATTTAACACAGAGTCCATGTAAGAACTAATCTAAACCTCGCCTGGGCGGGAATCCTATCATGGAATTGCTTCTTACGCAATCTTACCTACGTTTTTTTTTCTGGTTAAATGGTCCTACGTTGCATCATGGTGCTCTAGTAGAGCACCCTTTATTATTTCTTCAGCGTTGGTTGTCTTTTTTGCCTATGATGTCTTCCAATCGTCATGAGCATATCTTTTTTGTGTTCTTTGATGTTCTGATAGACTCAAATCTGTTTTAGTACATCTATTACTCCATTTGTTTTTTTTGTCACAAATCCTTACATTTTGCATTTATTCGCATATTTTGACATTTACCAATCTCATTCGTTAAAAGCAGACCTTTTTGCCAAACTTGACATTTAGACGTTTTAAGGCAGCATAATTAGCATTTTTTACCTACTTCGTGGCAAAAATTTACTAAATTTTTCCCGTACTTTTACTAATTCTGATATAAATGGTAATTTGATTTTGTTTTTTTATTTTCATTAAGCAGTTTAGTATGTTTAAATCGTTCACTGTGACCTGACTGGCCGCCTCCTCTATTTTCGCTTTTCGTTTTTGGTTCTTTTTACTCCTGCATTTACGCCGGGATTCCGGCTTCAATGGCTCTTTTTTGTGAAAAAAAAAAGAATCCGGAAATTTTAGGCTGTGGTTGGTGCCAATGACGACCCAGAACTTTAAGTAAGCAGGATTTTATTTCCTTTTTATGTTGCATCTAATAGGCTTCGAGTGATATCTGAAGAACATCGCATTTGAAATTGGGCTTTGCTGTTACCCTCCTCTGTTCTCAGGTAAGAATGCAGTTCGACTTGTGGGGCGTTGTTATGTCTTTTGTGCCTTAACTGTATAAGTCTACATATTTCTGACACGAGATCACAATTACCATTCTTCCCGAAGTCTTTCCACAGCTACTTGTTGACGGTTGTATTATCCACATTTTTATGTTATCCACTTTTGTAGGGTGCGTCGTGTTTTACAAACGTGGAAACAGCTGGAATATCCTTCAGGAGGGGAACTCGTGTATGCTCTTCTCCGTCGATGAACTGAACTGTAGTTTGGACTACCATTGGATTGAGTGTCAATTTACTGATTTGATTGGTAAGATTATCTCATAACTTCACCGCTCTAGACGTCGTTTGTCTACTTTTCATTCCGTTTTCACAGGTACGGGGATGTTTTTCAGGTTGGAATTTGTTGGCACAGGTGCTGCGTGTGGAATTCGATCACAGAAAACGGAGATGAACGCACGCAAGTAATGCGGTATGTTGTCTGTATTCTTTCCGAGTCTGTGAAGAATACGTATATCGCCTGGACTGTACCGATGTTGTAGTGCATATTGGTGACCATTGTTGGCCGGTAAATCTTTGCTAAATTCTGGGAAGTGTGGCGCTGTGGTGATTCCTGCG